CCCTTTACCGGAGATTTTGGGAACGCGCATGCGGTCCCTCCGACCTCGGAGTGGGGGGGCCGGGGGTATATATCAAGCGAAACTAAAACTCTAAACTAACAATTTTCTCAGAAAAGAATATTCCTTGCTTTGATCAGAAATTTCTCTCATTCTGATCTCTCTTGACCTTCAGCTAAGCTCTGCTCAATGTATCCACACCCCATATGTGTTTAATACTTCCCCACGCGGTGTCATGCTGGCTTCATTAACGTGAGGTGAGCACGTCGTCGGTATGTGCTTTCATCTTTACCTGGTGAAGTACCACGAAGCTACTGCTCCTGCCACCACCATCTGCTGGCAGCCCAGGATGAATTCACACGTCCACAGAAAACCAACCACCTGGTACCACCAGAACGACTGCAGCCACGGTGCCTTCTGGAACTTGGTCTCGTTTGTCTCTGGGTCCTTGATTATAGCACCTGTATGGCGTATTCACAGTTAGAATGACACAAATAAGTCGGGTCATGTGTTAGACTTTGGGATTTGCTTTTCGTGAGAATTAAATTCCGTATGCAATAATGAGTTTTGTGTCGGATTGTGAATAGTGATATATATATATATATATATATATATATATATATATATATTCCAACAAACAAAATGTCTATAACAATATATTATATTGTTATAGACATTTTGATTGTTGCATGGTGTCTATATGTTATTATACACTGAATTGTAATGCTATTCGTTAATCATATATTTTTGCTAAAATGTTTGTCAAATATTTATTGCAGTTGTTGTTCGCTTCTGCAATAAGCACTGTTTCAATAACTAAGGCATAGATAATTATTCATTATCGATTAATTTTGTCATCAATTTATAATCTATAGGAGTGGCTGACCGAAAGACAGAATGTCACTGAATTGTCATTTCACCCTCCATCACTACTGTTCACTTTGTTTTATTATTTATCAGCCAATTTGTTTAACTGATTTTCTACTCTTCAAAACGTAATTTCCATAAGTGTTAATAAAGTGATAAAATTCCATTGAATTGAATATATATATAATTGTTTCTTCAGAATGCGCTAGGGATGTCGTGCTCACCTGCTGTGTTAAGGAACATCATCACCGTCATCCAGTACAGTATGAATGCGATAAGCACGAGGAATGTGTACAGTGGCTGCATGAGGAGACACGGCATGCTGCGCACGACCTTGCCCGCCTCCCCGAACAGAGCCACGGTCAGCTTCATGCGCTTGAACATCACCAGTATGATGAGAAATAGGATCACCTACAGGTAGAGAAAGCAGTCAACATCCAACATCCAGTGTTGGCAATAGTATAACCCGTGCCCCCCCCCCTCCCCGGTGTTGGACTGGTAACTTTTGAGCAGGACGTTAATTTTTGTAGAATTTTCTGTAGGCCATATAGGTGGAGTCAACATGTTCAAAAGCATGACTGGTTGGGTTTTTAGACTCATTTTCAAGACTGCGACATCTGTGTAGATATATCTATGCAAGGAAGAAAGTGGTGCTTAACATACATTATGACATTACACGTGCCTATACACAGTTGTGAATTTTTTAAACTACCTCCATTTGAGCTAACTATAGGGCATCAATATGATAAAACAAAAGCATGAATCAAATTTCATGTAATATATCATCATATGTTTATATCAAGTATATGTTTATATGTTTTACTATATTTACAGTTTTTTGAACAACTTAGTTCGTACCTGCAGTACTCTTGTACTCTAACAGCTAGTTACTGCTTTAATATGCTGTGTAAACAAAATCTTTCTCTCATGCCTCATTCACTTCTCCTTTAGCATGTTTGGCAGTCTGGAATTATCACCTATATACGACTCAAGCCATCATGTACGACTCAAGCCCATCCACACAAAAGGTGAGAGCATGTTCTGTTCTTACGGTCACGTATGGTAACGTATGGTCACACACACCTCGCGTACAGTCATGTATGGTCAAACATGGTCACACACGGTCACGTATGGTCACGTACAGTCACACATACCTCACCTAGTCACGTATGGTTACGTATGGTCACACGTGATCACGTGTGGTCAGGTATGGTCCCACATACCTCACGTATAGTCACGCATGGTCACGTATGGTCACGTATGGTCACGCATCTCCGTACATACATACCTCACGTACAGTCACGTATAGTGACGTGTGGTCACGTATGGTCACACACGGTCAAACACGGTGACGTATGGTCACGTATAGTGACGTGTGGTCACGTATGGTCACGCACGGTCAAACATGGTCACGTATGGTCGCGCACGGTCACGTATAGTGACGTGTGGTCACGTATGGTCACACACTGTCACGTATGGTCACGCACGCCTCACGTATGGTCACGCATGCCTCACGCACTGCCGTTGATGAGAACGCAGGCCGGCGGACTCACCGTCAGCACGGTGGCGACGATGGAGAAGGTGAGGAAGAGAGTTTCGTCGCTGCACCAGCTGACCAGCGTTCTCTCCTCAACCGTCGAATCCAGCTTCTTCTTCACGATGACGTAGTTGAACCAGAGCAGAGCCGTGCCGACTGCGCGACGACGCGTGCGGAAAAACAAACATGGCGGAGGTCGTCAGACGCACAGATGTCGTCGCGAAACAAAGACACGTGTGGGGAACAGACGAACTTGCGTTAGCGGTCACCTCTATAGAAGGGACGGCCGTCCATAAAGGAAGCTTTCGGTGGTTCCCGTGAGTGGCGCTTATGAAGTGAAACCACCTCTATATTAGGGACGCCTGTGTATAAAGGACGCTCCCGGGGGTTCCGTGAGAGGTGCTTGTGCAGTGCGTTTCCCTTGAGTGACGCTTACATACTGGTTTGACTGTACATGCTCCTATGTGCCTAACAGTTCGGATAAAGTGGCTAACTACCACCATCGAGGATAATAACCCTAACGTGAAGCGAATCTGCATCTGCTACATGAAATGCCACCTCATTACATTGCAATTACATTCGTTATTACAACGAGCCGAGGCAATGCGTACATAAATACGTGTCGACTCCGACATTGATCGTGAGTATCAGCATATACGTATGCTTTACGAGTACCACCCGTATTTATGGCGCTCACGCGGGCAATGCCTGAATATCATTATCTAACGCGACAGAACAGGTTGGGAGAATCAAACTCCTACGACGAGAGTGAATCTCTGGTGTTAGTTACCTAAGGATCCCAACATGGCTAGGATACAGAGCAGGTAGACAATGACTGCGGCCATCCAGTGCATCATTACCATGATGATCAGAGACAGCACTGGAATCAATAGCACATGTGTTAAACATGACACATCACGAGTAGAACGCGAGTGAAACTCGATCGAAATGCTGTGAAGGACTCTCGTTTTATTCGCTGCCAAGTAACGCGCGTAGACCGAAAGGACCATGAAATGTACTTTCCGCTGACATGCGAAGAGTAAGTGTCGGATAACCTTTTGACCCTCAAGAGGCGGGTTAAACATTGATTTGTTGACTGTTAACAAAGGACTGAACTGCTTTTGCTATTATTAGAGCCCATACCTGTGTGAATGTGAGGCTACAGTTGCACAGTTTAATTGCAAAGGCAAATGTTTGTTGAACAAGATTTACGCTCCTTAAATCATATTATTTTCTAAAGCAGTCTGTCTATAGCACCCTGAAGGCTGAGATCAGTAATGCTCGCGATGGGTTAAGGCAAAAAACGGGTCAGCCCATTGGCTGGCACGCTTCTAAATCATAATTGTTGCCTGCCTACCTGCAATTGATAGAGATTAGGTGGGTGCGAAAGTTGTAGCTGATATATTTGTCGACATTGGCTTTACGAAAGTCAACAAGAATAAAGAAGACTTATGTATAAGACGATCTTGCTGATGAACAAATGAATTATCAGCAGAACACCAGACAACCAGCGATGAGCCCTGTCGCACTGCGGGCACTTGTTTTTTAAATCTGGGAGCAGGACACTCACGCACGGCGATGAACGACAGCAGGATCATGAGGCTCCAGCCGTTCCCGAGGTCCATGAGCACGCTCTGCACGAGATCGTTGTCGTTGAGGAATGCATAGACGTCCTCCATCACCTCCGCTCCCACCTCGGCGATGTCTGCCGGTATGCAGCGGTTCAGCACAGGCAGCCTGCAGACACGGGGAGGGGGAGCGAAGCGATGCTTGGTTGGTCGAACGAAGGACGACAGTCGAACTGATCCACGGCGCGAGACACGAAGATATCCCGACGACCGTTCGAAATTCGAAATTCACAGAGAAACTAATTGCAGGTGCTTCGTGCGTTAATGGGGGCAGTTGAGCCGACTGCGAGGCAAGATCGTTCACTCACTGCTTGGGTACGTTGAGCTTGGGGCACGGTCCCTTCGTGCCGCCCGGCGCCAGCATCTGGTTGCTGTAGTCGTTGATGGGGACGTCGTAGTCGCAGAGGAAGGAGCCGCTCTCGCGCGCGTAGTCCTCCAGCATCGTCCGCGTGCTGATGGTCGCCGGCGGACACTCGCGCACGCAGATGCAGCGCGACTCACGCACGCTCCACAGGTCGAAGAAGAACACGTACCTGCGGGAGGAGGAGAGAGGTTACCTGTGCGAATAACACACCTGTATGTACCTGCAGGAGGATGAGGATGGTCTGCTGTATGAATAACTTGCCTGTATGCACCTGCGGGCGCGGGAGACGAGGGGATGGTCAGCCGGGGGTGTGTCAGGGCCCGATAGGCCAGGGGGGTCGAGTGGTTCGACATGAACCCCCCCCCCCTAGCCCCCCCAATCAAAATGTTTTTTAAATTGTTGATAATTCACTCATTCGCTCCATTGTATGTTGGTAATAATTTCAAAAATCTCCATGCGTCGTGTTAGGTTCAAAAGTTATCCGACACTTCGTTGGCTTCGCATTCAGCGGAAATACATTCATGGTCCTTTCCGTCCTACGCGGTACTTGCCAGCAATAAAAACGAGTAGTCCTGTCACAGCATTCGATCGAGTTTCACTCGCGTTCTTACTCGTGACTGTGTTCATGTTTAACACCATTGCCTATTGATATCCAGTGCTGTCTCTGATCAATCATGTAATGATGCAGCTGATGGCCGCCAAGTTCATTGTCTACCTGCTCTGTATCTTAGCCATGTTGGGATCCTTAAGGTCAACTAACACCAGATGATTCACTCTCGTCGTAGCCGAAGTTTGATTCTCCCTACTGTTCTGTCGCCTTTAAGATAAATCATATCAGGCATTGCCCGTTGAGCGCATAATATAACGGTGGTTACTACGTAAAGCTCTACGATATGCTGATACTCACGATCAATGTCATATGTCGACTACGTATTTTAAGTTACGCATTGCTCGTGCTCGTGGTCAATAACGAATGTAATTGCAATGTAATTGAGGGTGGCATTGCATGTGAGCAGATGCAGTATTCGCTTCACAATAGCGGTTCATTAATTTCCTCGATGGTTCGCGTTAGTTTAGCC